CTTTTATACTTGGAATTCTCCTCTGTGAGAGCTGAATTTGTAGCACCGCTTCAAGCTAAGGTTGACCCACACGTCTCATTTTAAAACCTAATTCTCAGCTGTCAAGAACTTTGCCCAACTTTATCTGTTAAGAATGAAGTCATCCTTGGAGAGTTTTTAACTCCAGCTGAATTATTTTTGAAAGGGGCAGCAAAAATGGCTCAGCTATTGGAAAGTGAGATTAGAGAAGCATGCATTATTTCGCCCATGTTAAAACTTTACTACAGCTAAGACAGGAGGCAAACCCATAGAGAGGGACTAGTATGAAAGTATGGAGAGGAGAGCAGAAGCAGGAAACTGTCATTTCTTCTGGATTATGATGTACACATGAGAGGTCACCAGGACCATCAATACATGCACCTAGACAGGAGCATAGAGGAGCAGAGGCTGCCCAGACCTTCCACCCGCACCTTTTGACATTATCCAAAGGCCAGACCAAGTCCCGCTGTTCAGTGCCTCGATGACTGTAGCTTTATGCCCATCTGGGAATCAAACCTGGCTCGCTCACATGGCAGACAAGGAAACTACCACTGAAACACAACAGGAGGTGGAGAGGAAAGGCGGAGCTCAGAAAAAGATTTTTCCATTGGAGACAGACTCCCTGGGAAGCGTGCCTACGGTGAGAATGGGACCAAGAGCCAAGGAAGAGAGAAGTCTGGGACTCAGATGAAGGGGAACATTTTGAAAACCTCCAAAAGGAAAATTTGATTGATTGAGCAGAGACTGGGAAATGGAGCCAGAGGGGACACTGGGATGGGGAGCTAAAGGGGAGGAGAGATAAAACTGGGCTGGGTTGGAAGAGACACAAGTAGAAGCGGTCAGGTTTGGGAAGAGAGAAACAGGAACAGAAAGGTCTATGGCCAGTAGACCACCCCCTTACAGAATATGGACTTGAACTCAAGAGTCTCACCACCCCTTTCTTACACAGCACATTGGAGTCTGTCCCATCCTCCTCTGCTGCTGGCCTACAAAGCTTGGTGGCAACCTAGGGCGTAGAATGAAACTCCCTGAGGACCACTCTGTAGAAAACAAAATTTTCTCTGATGGCAAATGTTTTGCTAACAGAAGGGGTTTCTCTTCTTCTTTGTCTTTAATAGTCTTTCAGAAAACACTTTCTTTGTCTTGTTTCTCCACTCGGTGTTCGGTCCTCATGGCAGTTTCAGTTCCTCCAGTCATTTGACTTCAGAGCTACTAGGCTGTGAACGTGGTGGATAGGAATAGGCTATCAATACTGGCTAACCCACTAACAGACAGAGCTATTATTATAGCGGGCAATGATATGCTGAAGCCACAAAAAGGAAAACAGATTTTTGGGCTCCTCATATGTCCGGAGCTATCTGCACATCCTGTCCCGGGCTAACTGAAAACATGTGGTCAAGAGCCATCAGTCTAACTTATAGCTATACCATTAGCTTGCTCTCAAAATCTCATTCTCTATTATTTCCTTGTCTTGTTTCTTGCCCCTTGAAAAAGTCTATTACATTCTTACTAAATATTTGCCCATAATCCTGTTGTTTAAATTAATTTCTTCTCTTCCTTGATGTTATGTCTCTTTCTGAGTGTGAGATAGCATCTGTAGATTTTCTCTCTGCAACTTGTATGATGGGGGAGTGAATTAACATTGAGGGATACCCTTCCTTCTTTGCCAAAATGCTAGACAAGCAGGTCCTTGTTCAGATGCACCAGGTTCACATATATACCTCCTAGCTGATACACAAAATACACTGATTTCTTGCCATTTCTAAGCCAAGATTCAAGAGCAGTCACTAGTGAGGCCCTAACTTACTAAGACATCCTAACTGTGACAAAACAGAGCTTTGGAAACCAGCCTTCACACCTTTAACGAAAGCAGGATCAAGCCTTGAACAGATCATGTTAGCTGGCTGTGATCTATGCAAATTGCTTTGGTCAGAAGACACAAAAAAGTACATTTTGTGATGTGGTACCCTTGTTTTTAATCAGTTTTCCATTAAGGGCCTGATCTTGTTTCCCCCAGAGTCAAGGGCAAAGATTTCCATTGACTTCAAAAGTGTAGAGTCAAGCATTCAAAAGTAATTATTTTTCTATTGATTCAGTTTGATGTTTAGTGGCAAGTGGTAAATCTTGCCAAAGTCTGCCAGCTAGTACTACAAACTGTTGGTGCCAGAAAATAACAACAAAGTATTTCTATTACTGTTGCCCCATCACCTACCAAAACACCAAATGCACCCCACTACATCCATAGCCTGTCAGTATTTTGCATCCACATATACACCCCATGAACCTATACCCCATGGACCCCATGGACCTCCACCTATAAACACACCTACTTCATCTACTTACTCTACAACACTTCTATACACCTGTCCTCTAAAAACACACCCACCACATGTACACAAACCTCACTAGGTATACCCTTCTATATAAGCTCCACCTACAAACACACTCTTTACCAATACATAACCTACACACATCCTACACTTGTGCAAACCCAGTATGAACACACTTGCTCCTCCACCTACACACCTGCCCTTCACAAGCATGTATCCTACACACAACATACCCTACCCTCAGCCCTAAAACACACTCTTTAACTCTGTTAAAGATGCATGAGAAATGCATGAGACTCTAGGCCATAACATTGCTTTCTCTACAGAGCCCCAGTGATCTGTTTTCTGCTTTGAGGGGAAACACCTGCAGGTCCCTAGTTAGAGACAAGGGTAGCAGGGTGAAAGCTCAGAGTAGAAGTTATAGGAATCACCCGGCTACTCAACCACAAACAAAACCTCCATGCAGTTGTGTGCAATGGGGGAAAGGTCTTACTCTGAAGCAGGCAGTACCCAGGAGTTTGTGCCCAAAGGGAGCTGTGCGGAGCTGGTTACAGCCATAAAATGCTTAACTTACACATTTAAAACTACCTTTCCAGCACTGGGTGAAGTGTGCAATTAGGCACTGTAAAATGAACCAAGCTACAGAAATGCAAAATGTAGGAGAGTGTAGTGTAATGGACAGAGAATCAGACCAGGGTTCAGAAGGCCTCTGTTCTATTCTAGGGTCTGCTACTGGCCTGCTTTGGACAAGGCACTTTGCCTCCCTGTGCCTCAGTTTCTCTACCTGTCCCAAGAATAATGCTGAACTCTTGAGATCTTCAGATGAAAAGTGCTGTACAAGAACCATCCAATATCATCACTATTATTATTATTACTATTAGAGCTTAGTGTATTGTTATTTTATTTAATCCAGGTAATAAATTAATATGCCAGCACTGCCAGCTGTCTTGATGTCTCCACCATAATCCCAATATTTGGTATTTAACTTAAATCCCCAGCTCCTCAAAGCTTAGCAATCAGCCAAGGTGCTCAGCTTTCACATTTGAAGCATTACCTTCTAGCTTTCGTGGCTGCAAGAAGCATAAGAACAGGACCAAGGTGTGTGTTAAATCTCTCTTCCCCTCTGAACCCAAGCATGAGAAGCTGGAGGCCTGGTAAAGAGACAACTCAACAACCAGGGTGAACAGAGCAGCTGTTAAACTTTATTTTTTTTCTGATTGACAAAGAAAAGAGAGAGAAAAGTTACAAAAGTACTAAAAGGCAACAATATTGACAGGTATCCTCTGCTCTCCATTTCTACTCTTGGAAACTCTACTCCAAACTCTTGGAATATCACATGGGACAATAGCACGTGGCACCTCTTAGGCCAATAAGAACAGCTTCCTCAGCACTAGGCACAGTGCCTTCCTGGGTCTGATTCCAGTAGCATTGCCTGAAGCCTTAGCATAAAGGGCCACTGTGGCATCTGATTAGCAGAAGAGAGAGCCAGGGCATAGCTACCTTTGTCTTTAATATGGAGGTGTGGCCTAAGGAGGCTATAGTTCTCACCATGCATTGCTCCAGTTGGAATGACTGTGATTAAAGCTCATATGTATCATGGAAATGGGATAAGCCAAGTACCCCTGCTGGAGGGAGGAGGAGAAATAAGAAAGAGCATCTTCTTTGAAACACCAAAGAGGTGCTGGCAGTCAGCAAAGCTTTCCCTCTCAACAGAAGCCCCCAGCAAATAAATGAGAACTACTTCCTTCAGTTAATGCTGGTGAAGGAGGCCTTAGATATGGGGTGAACAAAATACAGCCCATGGGCCAGATCCATCCCACCAATTGATTTTATCCGGCCTGAGGGCAGGTGGTGGTACTGCGCAGCAGTCTCTGGGTGAGCTGAGTTCAGGCCCTGGTGGCTCCGGCCACTGCACAGTACGGCAGCTGGGCAGGGCTGCTTCTACCCAGGATCCCCTGTGGCACCAGCAGAACCCAGCATCTGCCCACAGGGGATGGAGCCTGACTGCGGGCCTGGGAACTGTCCTGTCCTGCCTTGCCATCAGGGCTCCTGGGAGCCACAGGGTCGGGGGCAGAGGGTGTACATGCCAGGAGCCCTGATGGCAGGGTGGGACAGTGCAGAGGCCCATGCCCAGGCTCCACCGCTGCATCCCCAGCTGTGGACACAGCTGGCAGGTGCTGGGAGGGGGGAGGAGGGAGCAGGAGGGTGGGCTTATGCTCCCACTCCTGCTGCTGCTCTGGCCCTAGCCCCGGCCCGGCTGTGAGGAGCACACGTGCATATGTGTATGTGCATCTGTGCACGTTTGTGTGTGCAGCCCTCAACAGCTCACAAAAAATTCACTGGCTGTGTCCAGGTGAGCACGGCCCTGCATTACATTTAGCTGTTCTCCGTGCTGCAAAGGAGAAGCACTTGGGGGGAAGGGGAGTTGACCCCTAGATATCCAGGGGTCAAAAAAATCCGTACCAAAAAAAAAAAGCAGAGCGGTGCATGCAGGGGCAGTGCATGCTGCTCAAAAGTGAAGCCTGGCCAGCTGGAGCCACACTCCAGCTGTCAGCCAGGCTCCAAGCAGCAGGATCACCACTGCTGCACCCTAGGATGCCCCAGGAACCCAGGGTAACTTGCCTGAGGGCGTGTGGCACAGGCATTCCCCAGGGACAACTAGCAGCGGCACAAGGTGTCCCACTGCTAGTTGTCTCCAGGGAACCAAATATCCATGCTCACGTGGACGTGGCCATTAAGTGGCCCTCCAGCCCAAATAGTTGCCCATCCCTGCTTTAGATACTGCCATGAAGTCTCCTATCCACAGAACAGGTAGGAAAAAGGCAAAAGTAATACAAGTTTCCCCATCACTGCCCTCCCCTAACTGTGTGTCTCGGCTCCAACCTGAGCAGGTGGCAACCAGCCTCAGGGCTGAAAGGAGAGATTAGGCTCCCTTGAGCTACTTGGTCTCTGGCCTCTCTACTGAAATTCCCAGTGCAGCGCCCCAGTTGGTGCCACCTGTGATACTGGTTTATGAGGTGGGCTCTGTCTCCTGGGCACTGGGTAAAGAGATATCAAAGATCTCCACACTAGAACTAGCAGAAGTGCTTCAGAAAGTTGCAATCCTTCCAGTTCACTCCTCTTGCTGCAGGGAAGTAGTAGGCTGCCTCAGTTCTCAGGTGGATGCAGCTTATTGCCCCTTCCCCATTTGGCCAGGCCTCTTGCTCACAGTGCAAAGTGTCTGCTTTTGGCACCAGACTGAGAAGCAAGATCAGATCTTAGCTGAACACAGGGAGGTTCCTTACATCCCTTCCCAGCCAAGTAAGACAAGGACATCCCCAAATTAGTTGTACCATGGTAGCACAAAACCACACCGCCACCCAATGGATAGCAAAAACTGCTGCAAGTCTCAGTAGTGCTGAGGCCCAGTATGGTTCAAACAGCACATGATACATCTACCTTAGAGAAAGTGCTGGATTTCAACAAAGGAGGTTAACAACAAGTCACCTGATCCATAGTTCCCCTGCCAGTGTGGGAAAGATTTGCTCTGTTCATGTGACCAGAATTCAGCGAGTTCAGCATCCATATGAGGAAGGCAGGCAAAGCAGGACAAGGGCTCAGCAGGCTTCCCAGGACACTGGACTTGATCGAGTTGCATGACACCAGCTATATTGCATGACATCGTTGATCAGCATTGGAGTTGAAGGGGGAGAGTGGGGAAACTGAAGGGGAAATACCTGATTCAAGCATTGCATTTCCTCTAGTGTAGATGCAGTCCTTGAGGAGAGGAACCCTTTGCGTGTACAACCCCACTAGCTTCTCCGCTCTTGCCATGTTGTGTGAAGACTGGAAGCAGATGCCTGAGCCTCCTTGAGTGGCTGAGCACACAGACCCTCCAAATCCCACAGCAAAGCCCAGCAGAGCCCATGAGGATGCCCCCTAACCCTGCTGCTCTTTGCTTCCCTGTTTTAACCACCTTTAGATTAAACCAACACCTCCAATGGAGAACACTTACAGCAAGTACCTACAGTGTCTACCATGACAATCCTCATCTCCTATTCCAACGGGACACCTCCTTGATTGTAGTAGAATTTAGAATAATCCTAATTCTGACAACATTGTAGCAGGGCCCAGTTCACTTCATGAGAAGCCCTCCATAACTTTTATCTCCAGCCTTAGAATGCTTCAGCCTGGGGGATGTAGCTTGTCCAAAAGCAAGACATTATAAAGCAGAGCATCTGGAAAAAAATCTACCAGATTTGAAGGTAGTTGTCATCCACATGCCTTTTTGCCATTGTTGCCATCTAACACAGTGACTATCTATCTGCTAACCCTTTAGGGCTACATATTCCTAGCATGTCCTCATGCCTCTCGCAGTCTTCCAGATTTCCCTGTAGTTCATGAAGTTGATGTGCTCTTTTCACTCCAAACAGCAACTCTCCCCTTCCGCCACCCTTCAGATGTGGTGATGATATGAAACCAGGCACTGCTGCCAAGCCACCTGTTTCCTGCTGCCAGAGAGATTGTTATTGCAAAGATGTCCCCCCCACACACACCCTCCCTCCGCCCCCTTACCCTCCCCACCCCTGCCAGGCAGGTAGTTGGTACAACAGTTCCTGAGGTTTTGGAGAATCTCCTTCAGTAGGCACATGACGGTTCTTCTACCGGAACGATCGGGCTCAGAGGCTTCAAGGTGCTGAGGGACCGGAAGGCAAAGTTCGATGGATCATATACAAAGTGGGGTGGTGGGCGGCTCCCATTGATACTCTGCATGGAAAGTAAAACAAAGAAGAAATCATTGCTTGGGCACCTACAACCAGTGAACTGGCCAGTAGATGCATGGCCCACCGCCCTCTGCTGGGCAGAATCATGCCTGCTCAATAGGTATCATAGGCCCCATACAACTAATGGCATGAGCAGTGCAGTTTTTCCCCCATTTGTTTCAAAACCACGTCACCCTCACAAGACTGAAACTGCCTGAGCCCCTATGTGATTAGGAACCTTGGCCACTGGTAGGAATTAACAAATGCAGCAGCAAGAAAGAGGGGTGGGATGCACAGAGGTACATTTAGAATTATGGGGTCAGAACAGAAGGCATCACAATTAGGGAGCTAAATGCAGGTTCACCTGACCTGACATGGGCACTGAGCTGGCAGGTCAAATTTAATCATAGCCCCTGCTAATCCTGTAAAATCCCAGTCACTCGCTGCATACCAGATCGTATCACAACATGGAAATAGCATCTACTACGCAGTCAGTGTTTTCTAGAGATACAGGCCCACTCAAAATACCCCATCCAGACACATCAAAATACTAGAGACCTGGCTCCAGACTCTGCAGAGTGGGCTCATCTTTATCTCCTTACTCTCAAATCTCTCAGACTCTCTCAGTTCCTATGTAATCTGTTTTAAATTTCTCTGGAACTGTTACTTCATTTGTTCTGAAACTTTCTTTAGTCTTCCTAGCTCTCTAATCCAGCCCCTCTTGCTCTCAGGTTCTCTCTGTAACGTATCTCACCTCACTCATTATGTCATCTGGTTTGTCAAATCTGTATTATGCTCAGCCATGCATCAAACTCTTTTTATACTGATGTTACTACTTCTACACTCTCTGGGAAGGCTCGACTCTAACCAAGGGATTAAACAGGACGATGCATTGCAATCCTTGTGTATTTTCACAATAGAGGGACTTGGGTTATATCAGTTCACTACAAACAGGTTCCTATGGCCAGCCCTGATTTTCAGAAACTCAAGGTATAGCAACTCCCATGGAAAATCTGTTGAAGAGGTGGGTGGTCAGCACTTCTGAAAATCAAGCCTTTCCTTATTTTAAGCCTGCCACGGAGATACCCAGCATGCCCTCCCTTCTGAACTCCTAAACAGAGTCTCCAGTCTTGGACACAAGCGCATGTTCCAGGGAATGAGTCTGCTTGGTTTATAAATGGGTGGAGGTGGACAGCAAAGCAACGGAGATGTCAAAGACAGCCCAGGCATAGGCATGGCTGGAGGGGATGACGTAAACTCAACAGCTGAGCTTATCTGCAGAGCTTGGAGAGAGTCTGTTTTCAGAGAAGGACCCCAGAGCCTGGCTGGAGCTCACTGCTCTCTATGGACCCCTATCATGACCTCATAGCCCAGTCTCTACAGACTTATCTCTCTTGTCACTGCAGCCCCAACAGTATGGCAAGGCCAAGAGCACAGTAAGAGATCCAGGAGGGGTACCATATTGCAATGTAGGATGAAAACAGCTTCCTGGGAGATCCTCTGGGGTGCAGCGTGGGAACCTGCTCTTCCACCAACTCTTCTTCTGGCCATGACTGAAACAGGGATTTTAATGCTAAAATAAGGCTTCCTCCATCTTATGGAGGTGCAGTCTCCTCCAATCATCTCTCGGGCTTTGGTTTGGGTTTTTGGTTTGTTTGGGTTTTTTTAAGGTCTACATAAATTATCCCCTAAAAGCAGGTACCAAATTTAGGCATGAATAGCTAAAGCGCCTTAACTCATGTGAGATGTGCTCAGGTGCATTAACGCTGTGTATGTCAACTAACTTGGGACTAACTTTAGTCCCAAGTCAGTCTGCATACTGCATTAATGCGCCTTAGCACATGTACATGTAGATGTGCACCTATATCACCTAAATTTAGGCGCGCATAAAAGCACACATAGACATGCCCACAGTGAAATATTGAAGGACTGGCAAGATACTCAAGAAGGCTAGATTTTGTTTTATGAATCTGAATAAGAGACATATATTTAACTATAATGACTGCAAGACTCATGACACAATATCTTTGGTCTATTTTGACTATTTTTACCTAGGTTGTTGTTTTGGTTTGGTTTTTTTTTTAAAAGCTTCTAGTTTCTCTTTAACTGGAAAAAAAACTGCTGTGTCATACGTGATGATGTGTCACAGCATCTGCACCCCCCCCCCTTTCAAAATCCAAGATCCACCCATGACCAATGGAGCATGCATCTTGGACTCTGGAACAGCCTCACAAGGATTTGTGTGGCACCTCCGAGTGCCAAAGTGCCAGCATGTTTGAGTTCCCCTGGACATAAACCCATGCAAATATTCCTCCTACATCTTCTCTTGCTCTCCCATTCTTCTCCCACTGACATCAAGGGGAGTTTGGATATTGTCCTGAGCATCAGGCGCAGAAAGAAGGTAACACCAGTCTGCTCCCTAGCTGTCCATGGCCTGATGGCTCAAACAGGCTCCAGTCTCCCTGCAGTTTCCTCTGCGTACCCTCTAACAAGGGCTTGTAATTTTCCTGAATGCAAGTGTTTCTCACCCAGCCTGGATGGAAAACCCTTTTGTCCAGGGATTAGGGCTTTTAGAAACAATTAGCAGCTCTTTTGTCTCCTGGTACAGAGATGTGACCTCTGACACTTCAAGGTCATGTCTAACATGTGGCTGTCCCGGCATGTGACCACAATCTTTGATCCCCCCATGCCCTCCACCCTGCAGATTTTAATTTGTAATCAGCACTGAAAGGTCAGAAACATGCAACCTTTCCTTGCAAGCTTTCCGGCCAGCTGAACTAGCCAATGTGGTCATTACAGCTTAGAGAAGGAAAAGACCAGTTAGACCATTCAGGCTGTTCCCCAGCTGCGGCAGCAATTAGAGCTGGGGCCCATGGGGCTGTTCCTGGCTTTGCCACTGAGAGACAATGCTTATTTTACAGGAAGACCACACAAATGTGTGTGCACACTGCGTTGCATGCACAGCTGCCCCGTCCACAAATGGAGGTGGCACTTCAGGACTGAAGATGCCAATGTTGTGCCTGGCACCAGCTCTATCCAAAGCTCCAGCCAGCCAGAAAATCATGCCCTGCTCCATCCCCCCTGACACCTTGGCTGCCAGCACAAGAAACAAGAGAGGCAGATTTAAGGGCCTTTGCTCAACAGACGCCTGCTGTGGGTTATATATGGTGTGTGCTCTGGCAGCCCTCGGAGCTGGAGGGTAACATAGCAACCCCTATTCAGAGTTAAGGGGCAGAATAAATCAGTACGTTTGTCCCTCTCCTGAGCAGAGAAACGGCCTGTCAATGCCAAGAGGGAAAAGGAACAAAGGGCCTGGCAGTGCCCTCCATTTTGAAATGTCGGATGGGATTAAGGGAGATGTCTGAATGAGATGATTTCTGGTGGGTGCCAAAGAACAAGGAAGCAGGAGAAGACACTGGAAAGAGGGGCCCAGGGGACATGTAAAAGTCACCCATAAAACTCTTCACATGTTGGGGCATACAGGAGCCCTGGGGTAGCGCTCTCGGTTCTCCGTGCAGGGCAAGGCAGCCTTCACAGCGCAGCCAGAGGAGCACAGCACTAGACAAGGGCAGAGGTGGGGTGGAAATCCTGGGAAATGTTGGCATTGGGGGGAATCACAGGGTGGCTGCTGCTCGTAACCAATCTGTTGCTACTCTGTCCCTCCCCAGCACACTGCCATTGTTTCTCACCACGCTCAGGTGGGTAGCAGTTTTTGCAGGGTAGGAGCTGCCTTTTTTTTTTTATGCATAGCACCTTATACACTGGGACTATCATTGCAGATTTTTGCCTGGTAGGCCCGGGTAATAAAAATGAAAAAAACATACGTTTATGTTGCACCTGTGAGACAAAGACACTTCACAGACTGTACCGCATGAACTGTTTCCCCCGTGACTGAAGTGCAGCCAGCTCTGAAGTGGATTGCAAGTACCCTAACTGGAACGTCCTTGGGACACCTGTGTCAGTGCAGAAACAGCTCTGCAACTGTTCATAACCTCCAGCAGTCAGGATCTCTCGCTCGTGCCCATTCTCAAGACTACCGGTAGGGCACGACGGGTATCCTCAACTGAATTGCTCATGTTTCCTGCGGAGCTGGAGTCTTCTTTGGCACTCAGTCTCCCAACCCTAGCTCTGACCAGGCCAAGCTGACCCCTGCTTCATCTGTGAGATCATTTGGGAAGCACAGCATGCAATGGTCTGCCTTAATGCTCAGCATGATGTGAAGTGCTAGAAATCTCCTCCCAGAAAGATGAGAGATTGGGAGGATTGCCAGAGAAGCGAACCTAGTCACCTCCTGGTTCCACCTGCTGCCCTCCTCTGCTCGGAGAGCTTTCCTTACAAAGCTGTCCTTCCCACAGGCACCCTCCAGCACACCACAAGGAAGGTGAGGTGAGACTGAATGAAGGAGAGCTGAGTCACTCCTGCCTTGGCAAGCCTGGGTAGGGCTTGCCATAAACTTGTTTGGCAGCCCTTGCTGTGCAACCTCTAGACTTATTCTTGTGGAGGATCCCTGCAAAGCAGACACTCTGCACTTGATGTGAAAGGGCAGTGCTTTCACTCTCATGGTACTGTGGGCAGCTGGGAGATTCTCACAGAGCTCAGCCTCCTACAGGCTGCCCACTAATAGCAATCATTAACCAGGGACCTAAACTGGTTAAGCAATTTATTTAAGCAGCTGGGCTAGGGACAGACATTCAAAAAGCCTGATTCTGAATTGATTCAATTTTTGCAGGTTAGTATAACCTGAAAAGCCTGAACTGATTTGGAGGTAGATAGACATTCCCTTTTCATTTCAGAAATGCAGACACATGCCTGCAGTGGCTCAGGCTAGAAGCCGGGGGGTGCTAGAGCAGCCCTCCCTTCCCTTCTACAGAGCTGAGCTGAGGGGGGCTTGGGCAGGCCCCAGGTAGACACTTATTATTTTCACACACACACCCCTCCCCAACAAGTAGCCCAGCAGGGAATGTTTATCACCAGTAACTCAGTGCTTATCAACCCATTAAGAAA